TAAGACGAACACTATTGTTACTTTAATAAAATTTCCTGTTCAAAATACTGTAAAATAATGAGTTATTTTACATAATTTATTATTTATATTGATTTGTAAATGATTGCAAATGATTAAAAAATAAACAACAATATGGTCTATTCAAAGTGTATTTGCGTTGAATGAAAACAGTGCTGAAACGGAGGAGTAAAGTTTTATTCAGGAAGCTTGACAAAAAATGTGAATATGTCCTTTTGGCTCTATGAGCTTATGCAGTGAACAGAAATAGTTTGATAGTTGAATGTTATGGTACTTTATTTTTTTTTTAAAAAATAAAAAGTTTTGAATTTGCGATATTTTTGCGTCAGTACATACTCGAATGTTCACTTCAAATTAAAAGGGCTTAAGGGTTTTGTACTAAAAATTTCTTTTAAAAAATTAAAGATTAAAATTTTTACCTGATAATTGCTATAAATTAAACTCTTTTAGCTAGTCTCCTTCCCTCTGTCACGTTTTTCAATTCGTGAGTGGTGATACCGAGATTTTTTGGCGCAGGTATTGATACGAAAATCCACCCATTAAATTTTATTATAAGGGATATTACAATTTCTTAAAGACATTTTCAAATTAAATATTTAAAATTTAAAAATTAATATTCATTGCCTAAAAGTTTAAATTTAGTCTTTTCAATGTAGATTGTTACTTTATTTCTCTTATAATTTCGGCTCCGTCTGCTGGCTTAACAAGCTAATCTACAAGGAAGGAACATTTCAATTTCAAAATGGACTGTGGAACACTGCAAATGGAAAATGACACACTCTGGTAGAAAACTGGGGGTCGTAAGTTCGATTCTGCCAGAAAAACAAAGCAACTGGTGTGTATATATGCAGTAAGGTGCACTTTAAACTTATCGGAGCTGAAAGTCCTCTCATTGGTCATTTTGTAAAAGTATGATGAAAGGCTCAAACCCGTGTGATTCAACCTTACTGAGTGTGTTTGTGTAATATAAACATTATTAACTGTTGCTGATCATTTTATAAAATCTTTAAAAAAAAATTCCCGGGTTACGGCTCGGAAATATGGTTGCAAGTAAACAATAACTTGTAATTGAAGGAATAAAACTGCATGAAATGGTTGAAAGGTCTCGGAATTTTTTTTACCAAACATAATAATATAATAAAATCACATATTCGAACTGTTGCAATTTCTAATAAAAAATAAAAATTATTTCATAACAAATATGTGTTTTCATCTTGTATTTTACTAAAAGATATTTTTTTGTTTTTGCTTGTATTAGACAATGACGGTAAGCATATACTGCTTTTATAACTGAATGAATCTTATTTTCATATTGTATTTTGTTTTAAAATAAAATAATTATGCTGCGAAATAATGTTTGTCATGATTTTTTTGCTATTCTTAACTACTACAGGTGAGTCATTTATTCTGCAACTTCGTAATAAATCTTCAGAATTTTAGAAAAAGGGGCTGGCAGATATGATATGTTCATTAATAAAACTTAAAAAGATATAATGTTTGAAAATCTTTTTATAATAATGCTTAAGTATTGTGAAAACAGTTAGATAATTTTAAAGTTTGGCTACTTTTAAATTTTCAAGATATCGAAAGTAATTTTATTTTAGCATTGTCGATAAACATTAAGTTTAGCTTGTGATACTAGCATTGTAATGATTACTTTAAATATATACTAAATATTACTTTAAATATATGAATTCGGTAATAAACTTTTATTTAGTATGTTTGTATTGCTAAGTAAATAATGCATAAATAATGGATTTTCATCATGATACAAATGTTCCATGTTTTACTGCTTCACAACAATACAAGAAATAAAGTAAAATTATGTTGCCGAACTATTCTACTACTATCCAAATCTTCCCTTTGCTTACTCCAAAAATAACAACGCAAGATGATATCAGAACAAAATCTAATATTATATAGCTTCAAAATCAATGCAAAATAATGTAACCAATGACGAACGACCTTCTTTATCTTTCTAATATTAGAAAGTTGTGCAAGATAACGTTAGATTTTATTGGTATAACAATGCGTTTTCAGAATTGTTTTCTAAATTTTCGTTTTTTTAATTTTGTTTTTAATGAAATTAAAATTAGACATAACAAGCCATTCCTCCAACACAACTTTTTTTTTGCTTAAAATTCAAATTTCCTGCAATAAATATGAAATAATGAATTCTTAAATTCCATACAATGAGATATTCTCAATTTCAGAAGAAGAAGACTGCTGACACACACAACTACTAGACCTTAACTTTAACTCCAACTAGTTGCTTATAAACAACATGGCGTGCTAACGTTACAGCTGTTAGGCTTATTTTATTGTCTGTTTCTTTTCGTTACTAAAGGAAAATTAATAGCTCATTTTTTTAGATTTGCTAAGTATTAATTATATATTTAGTATTAATTATATACTTTATTAATTTGCAAGAATTCATTAGTTACGGGATTATCTCATGATACGATAATTGATAACGAGATCACATATCAAGTTCATATTTGTCAGGCTAGGCTTATTCAAAATGGTGGAAAGAACAGTTGCTACATAAATAAATTCCCTGTTTCAACAGTCAATCATACTCGATACTCCCAATAATGTCACTTGGAGGTATCCAGTTGTAAAATAAATTTAATTCAAAGGAACTTTAATGTCTGTTTTCATCAACAAAAGAATAAAATTGAAAATTTGAAAACTATCACGAAAATTTGTCTTTTATAGAATCGCTTTCAAAAATAGTTTTTTCTTAGAAAAACGCACTCATTTTTTTAAGCCTATTATGATATTTATTTATATTTTTGATCCAGCCGTAATTTTAAAACTAGTCTTAGCATACACAACAGAAAATATAATTAAACTAAACATTATTTATTTTCATAGGAAAAGCAAAAAACTATATATGTAACAATAGATTAAAAATAAATATCGTTTTTGGTATAAATATGAATTATTAAGCTCTATCGCTCAGTAGAAGCTATTACTGAAATTTTTGCTAAAAGAATACTTAATGGTTAAACAAACAATAAAAAAATTCTGTGATGCAGCCAATAGCAGCTTTGATGATGCAGTGTTTGTGAGAAAAATGATGGATGATGACAACAATGAATACAAGAAAGATGCCCTGGTATTTTAGATCTTCGTAAATACCAAAAATCTGTAAATTTTTGTATGTTCGGAATTATAAATGATTCTGGCCTAGGAACAAGAACTAAAAAATCTATGGAATAACAAAATAAATTGTTTAACGGTATATATGTGTGAAATTATGCATGTTTTTTTTCAAAGGTGATAAATTGGAATAGTCTTAGAGAATAAAATTGCTCATTCTCCCATCAGATTTGAATTTCTGATGCATTTATGCATAGTGGCACCTTTTATTAAACTTGACGTATCGACTAAGAATAAAGAGGGTCATTAGAAATAAGAAAAATATTTATTTTGGGGCTCTCCAAAAGCCTTGAATAATTTTGTGTTTCATATTTTTGACCAAACAGACAATTTTGTGGGTATGAGTTTAACTTGTATTTTCAAAACTTTTGTTTCTGATTCAATCGATACGCATTTATACCTTAACAAAGAGAATGTCTTGTCTGACATTTGGCATTAATAAGATAAAAAGAAAACGAGTTAAAGGATCATCAATTAAAACTTCTGCGTTTGGAAACCTTATTTATTTTAATATTAGACTTGATAAAATCGATAAAAAAGATTGAAAAAAAGTTATGGGGGTAATAATTTTATAATTTTGGGTTCAACTCAGTAGCCATGTAGTTTTAAACCCGATCCAGAAGACAAGGGAACTCCTGGATCAAGTATTGGAATAAATTTGCCATCGTGGAGGATTTCTTGATGGAACTAACTCGTATTTGCTTTACATGGAGAGGAAAACCATGAAAACATCTCTCGGTGATCTTGACGGCAAGGGACTCTAACAAAAGATCCATGACCCGTCTAGCATTGAGAATATTTTACGACAGCATTGTAGTCGGTGTGAGAAGGGTGCGGAATACGTATCGACTAGCCATCGTTGGGTTTCGAACCAGGTTCATCCCATTAGAAGGTGAACCCTCTATTTCTTGTCTCGGAGGCAATGATTTGAGCTACCATGGCTTGGAGGCAATGATTTGATAAAATTCACTAACATCACTAATTTAATTAAATTTGCTAACTTCTCACTGAAGCAATAGTTTTAGATTAACTAAAAGGCTGAAATTTTATGTTAACTGTTATTTTAAGAAAGCACTCAAACTTGGAGTTTGAAGATAATGTCCCAGCCTGAAATACAACTAAATATTTCGGCAAAATAATTGAAAGCATGATAAGAGAATGCGTTAATTAATATATTCGAATTACTCAAACTAAGAGATATATGAACATGTTATAATCGGAGCTAATTGCTGCGTTTTTATTTATTTGTTTTCGTGTTGGTAACAATGAAATTTTGTTATCAGATTTTGGACAACTTGCCGAATATTTAAATTACCTACATATCTTAAAGTTCTCTGTGCTTGATGACAATACAAAGTTTCAATAATTTTCAGAACGCCACGAGGCAACATTGTCGTGATATTATCATCAAAATAAATTTATCATTCGTTGAAATTTGATCAAATTGAAACTAAAAAGAACACTGAAATTTAAACTGAAGCTTTGTGCTGGATGACGTCACAAGTTTCAATCAGAATCTGATTGCTACAAGCACAATTTGTTGTCAGTTTATAGCTATTTAAAAATTCTCGTTAATAAAAATTTCAACCACAACTAGGGCTCCAAAGGTTCTGACCACTACAAACAGATTTTAGAATATTAATTTATATAAGTCAAAACTAAGCCTTTTTTCAGCGGAAAAAAAGTATTGTATACAACCTTTTGGAGTTTTTCTACAACCTAAAGCTAATGTTTTTAAATGAAAAAAATTTAATTTAACACTATCTTCCGCTTTGTGTATCAGATATTAATGTTTGTTTAAAAATGTCAATACTCACGTTTTTCGCAGAAAGCTCCTTTCGTCCCAGATGGGCAATGACAAAAATAAGGCTTTACACATTCGCCCCCATTTTCACAAGCAGGTTCACAGTATGCTGCAACCCCAGAGGAAAAAAAATGTACATATTACATATTCTTTTGAGACACCATGCAAACAGATGACAAGTAAAGAGTAAAAGTACATGGATATTAGTCGCTTAGAATGGTTAAATAAATGAAGAATCGTTAAATAATTCTTCCAAACAATAATTTTTAATGTGTGTCTTAATATTTGATAAAAAACATTTAAATAAATAAATTTCAGAAATAATAAGATATAAATAATTTTACAGTTATAATAAATATTTGAATTACCGTAATTGAAATAAGCCTTGAAAAATTTGAATTTTTTGAAAAACAATGAAACACATGCTTATGTAAAACAAATTTTAAAAATGTTATTTTCTCCATGAAAGATATTCGAAAAAAAAATGTCACGACTATTATTAAATAAATGATGATAAGGAACAAAGAACATTCTTAAGCATATTAATTATAAACTAAGGTAAAGAAAACTCACGTTTACTACAGTCTTTTCCAGTAAATCCAGATCTGCAAGCACACTTGTTCGGGGCAACACATTCTCCACCATTCTTGCATCCTTGTTGGCAGATAGCTATAAAGCATTATGACAGTTAACTTTATCAGAAGTTTTGGCAGTATATTACCATAAGTTCTTTATCACTTATTACAGTACACTCTGTCTTAAGCAATTTTATTTGATAAATATTGTTGAACAAACGACACAATTTTGGGTTTACGACTACTGATGTTCAATTCCCTAGCCTTATAATTTTGAACCCAATCCAAAAGACATGCGAACTCCTGGATCAAGTATTGGAAGAAATTTGCTTTCATGAAGAATTTTTTGATGGAACTAACCAACATTTGTGTTACATGGAGAGGAAAACCAAGAAAACCTTCCACGGTTAGCCTAACGGCAAGGGGATTCTAACCCATGATCCTACTACTACTGAGGATATTTTACATCAGAAATGTGGTCGGTGCCAGCCGGATGCGGTATTCGTATCGACCACCCCTCACTGGAGTTCTAATCTAGGTTTAAGATCTAACCATTGGGATCTAACCTAGATCTAACCATTGGGAGGCGAGTGGTCTATCTTCTGAGTCACACGGCTCTAAATACTAATGATTTTATTTTATTCCTGGATCAAGTATTGGAAGAAATTTGCCTTCATGAAGAATTTCTTGATGGAACTAACCAGCATTTGTGTTACACGGAGAGGAAAACCACGAAAACCTTCCACGGTTAGCCTAACGGCTAGGGGATTCTAACCTATGATCCTACTACTACTGAGGATATTTTACATCAGAAATGTGGTCGGTGCCAGCCGGATGCGGTATTCGTATCGAACTCCCCTCACTGGAGTTCTAACCTAGGTTTAAGATAGTGTCCATCAAAAAGTGCTCCACGAAAGCAAATTTCTTCCAATACTTGAGCCAGGAGTTCCTTCGTTTTCTGGATTAGGTTCACAATTACCAGGCTACGACGCTGAAAATTAGCTGTCGTAAACTCAAAATTGGGTCAGCTGCTAAACGGAGATTATAAAATAAACTAAAATAAATTTGCAGGTTTTTAATGCAATATTTTAACCTTAAGCATCACTGATGTCAATAATAGTTTGGCGATTTCATTCCGCTTTCGAAATAAGTACCGATATGAGTTCGCAAAAAAATATTGTTTTCATTGTTTATTATAGTTTCGAGAATTACAATGAATTACTTTTAGTAATAAGTACTTATAGAAATAAATAAAAAATAAATTTTGTGCTAAAAAGCTAACGGAGAAAAGGTACTTATTAAGATAACCGTAAAAAATTGATCTATTGTTATTGACGCTAATGATGCTTAGTTAATTTTGATAATAGTTACTACTATTTTTTAACTCATGCTTTTGATAAGAACTAAAAATAATATTATTGGAACCAAGATGCCTACTATAGGTACTGCCGAAATATGTATGAAAAAGGAGAAGTAACGGAAAAGAATTATTGATTATGGCAATTTTATAGACTATCGATTATGGTAGACCTCGAATAATAGCAATATGTTAAATGAAACTGAATTTCTTTTGATAGGATGAACCTCGAAAAACTTGTTTTGCTTAACTGTAATTTTCTGTAAGTAACTGTAAATTTTCTTATAGCTAAAATCAGTAATTAGTTACAATTTGCTCAATGTGAAGGACATTTTCTTTTTTGCGTGATGCATTAAATTGCAGTGAATAATGTTCTAGTTTAGGAGCAAAACCCTTAATCGGTATTTGCTTTTGCATTCTATTTGCAAAATAATTTTTCGTACAGCTAGAAAAAATACACATTATACATTCCCTTTTCAGACGAGAAAAAAAATTCAAGCTTTTGAAACACCTCAGTAACTTTTTCATGTCGTCAGTGAACTAATTTTTTGCTAAAACTAAAATAGGTAAAATTGTTACAATGACGTTACATTAATAATGCTGAATAACCCGAGGCAAATATTCAGTTGTATAGCACAAATTGCACCATTAATCTTCCAAATAAATAAATAAGCATCCATGAAAAAAAAGTAATTGCACAAATCTGGGAAATGTTTCCTCCTAAGGCATTTATTTGTTTTTCTTTTGAAATCTTTTTCAACTTCCCGATTACTGCGTTATTATAGCAAATCCCAGCTTATGCAAACTAATGTTATTTACCATAAAGCTTACTGAGTCTTATAAAATGTTTCTCATCTTAAAATGAATTTCACTTTTTGCAATATGTCTGTGGCACAGTTTACTATTAAGTTTTGGGAACAATATTACTTCATAATTAGGCTGTTGTTTTGAATCAAAAGTATATAAGGTACAAAAACTTTTATAGAAAAAAATAAATGTATGAAATACATTCTTTTAGTTTGTCTCATGTTGTGTTCTTGCCAGAAACATGCCACCAAGATCAAAAAAGTTAAATAAGAACATATGAAAAAGAGTAAAGTAGCACGAGAATGTCAAGGTAATTATTATCCTTTTTTTATGTCAAAGTAACCATTAATTAATAAAACAGATATAAATTTTATGAATATTGCATTCCCTGAAATTATTTTTTTCTTCGTTTTGCCAGTTTAGAGATATCGGATTTATATTTCGTTATTTTCAAATGTGATTCTTTACTAAGTGCAAACTCTGACATATTTGGCAAAACTACTTTTCATATATCATCCACCCGCATTTTGAATACGATTTTTAAACATTATAAACAGGGATGGGACAGTGATTAGTGCACTCTATGGGAAGCAGCTTGAAGTATAAGCTCATTTACTTTTACACCAATATGTTATATTTTTTAATTACATGTCCTGGCGGTTATGATTAATTCGCTTCACAAAATTCGCATCTTTGAGTAAATGAAAATGAAATGAACGAGCGAAACACTTTCCAGGAAAAAGCTTTGTCAAACACGAAGAAAATTTCGTGACCTTTGAGCATCCGTTTCTTTCACTGTGACAGTTTTCAACACTTTTTTTCTTGCTTATTCTTTTCTGCCTAATAGATTAATCTATATTTCAATATGATGTCTTTACAATAGCTAATCCACAATAGTATAGTTGCTGTTGAAGTATGCCTGTTTCGCGATTGTTCTTGTTTTCCAGTGGAGCCATCTATGGCCAAGAATTCGACTTCTGCCACACTATACGTCACACCCGTTTATAGGGCGGACACATTCATACATCCATTCATTCATCCACTTTGACTTGAATTAGAGAACGATCGATCTCCAATCCAGTACCCCCAGAGGTTTTGATTTGTTATGGGAACATGGAGGACTTTTGCGACTCGACAGATTTAACATGCATCAGTCACTTTACTACACGGGGATCAGAGAACTATCATAAAAAAAAATTTGATAGTTTTTTTCCACTTAAAGTTTGATAGTTTTAAGCAAATGATTCCGGAATTTATTTAAACAAAGAACCTCCTATCCCTGCTTGATCAGTTCGCCAACCCTCGTAATTTCTTTTGATTCGTCATTGTTTTTTCTTCTCCTGAAGGTTAATATTTTTTACAAAAGAACACTTTGCTTTCAAAATAAGCAATTCTTACGGAAAAATATTGCTGCTTTACATAGGAAATTTCTTTATATTTTAATCTTAATGAAATCGGCAAAACGACAATTACCTAGATTTGAAAAATAATAATCTGTACTTGGAAAAAAATTTAACCTAAGGAATGCTAATATTGTTACTCAAAAAGAAGAAATAAGCAAGAAGTAATTTCCCTCATTGGTATGACTTCTAACAATTCAATTCGAGAACAGCTTCCTTTATTGAATTTTTTATTTTTAAAAATATCACTACCAACTTTAAGATTGCTATCTGAAAACATGTTACCTCTCTCACATTTTTTTAAGCTGATTGACATCTACTCGCGCGAGCTTATAAAGTGGAAAAATATATATATATATAAGGATCTTGTGGAGGGAAAATCAATTTCTTACAGCAGTGGTAAATAGTCAATATTTAAGACTAGAAAGATTGTGGGACTCAAAATGAATGTATAAATGAGAAGGAATTTTACTTCTACTATTTTACTTAAAGACAACTTAAAGAAAGAACTGTTTCATGGCTTTTTATTAAGTTTTTATTTTTTATTTTTAAAAAATTTCAATTTAAAGTTTGAGATGTCTGGCAATATGCAATCTCTTTTTCTCTCTTCTGCTGTTTTTGATTGACAGCTTGTTGAGCGTGAACTTGTGGGGGGAAATAAATTTTCGCCAACAATGGATAAATAATCAATATTTAAAGCAGAAAAATAACTTTATAAAAATTACAAAAATGCACATAAAATTGCAATAAATTTGGAACGAATTTAAATTTCGAAATAAAGTTCGTGTTGAATTTACAAATGAAAATGGTTCTTTCTACGGGTCAAATTTTACCTCCGTAGTTGTATATTATTGGGCTATAAATCGACTTAACATTATATTTTTTCCCTACAAATTAAACAGTTAAAAATTGGTGAACAAATAGTCGATTTTTATTTATTTTTATTTGCCTTCGTGGAGGACTTTTTGGTAGAATTAACACGTATTTGCGCTACAAGGAGAGGAAAATCACGAAGTCTTCCCATGGCTAATCTGACGTCAAGGAGACTCTAACCCATGATCCGTCTACCACTGAGGATATTTTAAGTCAGCCCGGTGGTCGGTGCGAGTCAGCCGCGGAATTCGTTTGGACCAACCATCGCTGGCATTCGAACCCGGTTCACCTCATAGGGAGGCGAATGTGATATCCCCTGAGTCAGCACGGCTTACCTTCATAATTTCGAACTTCTAAGTATGGCAGCATTTGGGCAGCAAAACAAAATATAATATTAATTTGAAAACCTACAACAGGAGAGTTTTTTTAATAAAGTGAAATAGTTCACATCATTTGGATTGGGTCTGCGGTAATATGAACATACTTATATGCACATTTATGCGATAATTTATATTAGTGTGGAAAAATACAACTTTAAAAATTATGTACTAAGTTAACAAATGTAGCGTGTTTTTAGTCTTGTTATGATATTAAAAAAATAGTTTTAATGAAAAATAAAAAAATATAAATATTTTTCATATTTTCTTCATATTAATTATAGTTAAAATCCTTTGACCAAATTACCCTTATGGCAAGATTTTCCAACATAACCAGATTTGCAGCTGCAAGTATTGGGAGCAACACAGACGCCTCCATTCATGCACTGTGGCTTACACAAAGCTAAAATGCAATATTAAAAAATATTAAAAAATAAAGTAAATACACAGCAATTCAGATATGTCTGTGCATGTTAAAATAATGATTTTGTTATTGTTATTACAGTAAGTCTATGAACCAAAATAGTTTTTTTTTAAATAGTTATTTAAGTTACCATTTAACATCTTATCTGATATTTGATCTTATCTATTATAAGGTATCTACATAAATTGAGATAGTCGTTAAAAACTAACGTTCCACGCTTAAGCCTCGAAAAGTAATTTGTATTACAATAATTCCTCGCTTCACCTCGATACTTCTAGCTTGTTTTTTTTTCAAAAAAAAAGATATACACGTTCATATGTTAAAAAAAAGATACACATGTCTAAATATGAACACGTACACATGTTCATATTCAGACTAAAGTTTATGGAGATTTAGCTTAAAAAAGTTGCGGCAGTAAAAATGTAAATATACCAAACATGATATATTTTTTATCTTTTATGTCTTGATTACAGATTATATAACACTATATAAATATTATAATATATTTAGAAATTTTGATCTGTTTTGAATGGTAACTTTGTCTGACTTTGATGCGATATTGATATGGTGCACAATTGAACCATATTATCTTCACTGAAAGTGGTATTTACTTCAGGAAGGCGAGCTAATAACAAGTTCGGATAGACCCTTTACTTAGCGACTGACTCTGCTGCTGATATGTTGGTAATAATTTGGGCTGGTGATAAGTTGGGTAATAATTTGGGCTAATGTTTAGCTTCATTGGCTACGTACAAATTGGCTTTCTACGTATACTCACAATGGCTTGCTACGCTACGCTCGTTCCTTGTCTGTTGAAATTAGTCTAATCGCTAGTCTCCCATATTTATGAATCATATGTAAACTCCAGACTCTGAAAAGTCATGGTTTTATTTATTTTCGTAATTAATGGATCCAAGTGTCGAACAAGATAATGCTCGGCAAAATATATTGGGAAGCGTGTTATTTATGAACAACTAGTGCCGCTGCAGTAACTGCATGTATTGCAAATGCTCCTGTTATTAAATAGTTTGAATTGCCAGCATAAAACCTTTGAAAAAGACACCTTTTATTGATGACAAACGTTAAACAAAGCTTTCATTTATTTTATTTATTAACCGTCGTTGTACAGCCGACCCAATTTTTGAGATTACGATTTCTAGTGTTCAACTCCGTAGACTTGTAATTTTGATCCCAGTCCAGAAGACAGGGAAACTCCCGGCTAAGTATTGGGAGAAATTTACCTTTGTGCTGGACTTTTTGATCCAACTAAGCCGTATTTACGTTACATGAAAAGGAAGACCACGAGAAGTTCCCACGGTGAGGCTGAAGTCAAATTGACTCTAACCAATGATCCGTTTGCCACTGAGGATATTTCACGTCAGCACTGTGATCGGTGCAATCGATGCGCATTCGTATCGACCAGTCATCGCCGGGATTTGAACTCGGTTCACATCATTGGAAATAGTAGGTGATGCCATACAATTACAAAAATCGTCAGAGAGTACTAAGATATTTCGTGGCTCAGGGGATAGAACACTCGCCCGATAAGGAGACCCGGAATAAGGTATTCAGAATTCGTATCGATCTGCCATTGCTGGGATTCGAATAAGGTGACCAGCATTCGAATCCAAGCAATGACTGGTCAATACGAATTCCACATCCTGCTCACATTGACCTGCTCACATTGCTGATGTAAAATATCTCCAGTGGTAGAAGGGTCATGGGTTAGAATCCCTTTGCCATCAGGTTAACAGCGGGATGTTTTCGCGGGTATCCTCTCCATACAACGCAAATACGGGTTAGTCCCATAAAAAATCTTCTGCGAAGGCAATTTTCTCCCAATACTTGATCCAGGAGTTCCCTTGTCAAAATTATAAGGCTGCTTGGATTGGGTTTAAAATTACAAGGCTACGGAGTTGAACATTGGTTGACTTAAACGTAAATTTGGATCGGCTGTTCAACGACAGTTATAGAATAAGAGGAAATAACTCTTGCATTGATATGTTGCAAAGAGCAAATAAACAAAAGCGAACTTGGTGAGCATAATGAACCTACATACATTTGTACGTATGGAACCATATTGTACATAGCCATTAAGTCTAATAAATACTAATGTCAGTCGTAATAGTGCCAGTTGCAGAGTCAGGACAGACCGTGATATTCAAAATATAGGGCTATATTATAAATTGAAAAGCAAGAAAAAGTTTTCAAGTATACTGAAGTAAATGTTTATTGTATTAAATGCACTATACGAATATGTTATTATAGACAGCGATGGAATAAAGAAAACTCTTCATGTATCAGATTTTTTCTTCTTCTCTAGAGTTGTGCTTCCTATTGTTAGAATTTTCATTCTAAAACTATGGTAAAATAACCGGCAAGAGTCTCCCATCTAATAAACCGTAAAGTTTAAAGTAAAGAACATTTGTTTTTACATTTTCGGTTTAGAAACTGTTTACAACCCAGTATGGCTAAAAAGACCTGAATACAAAACTAGATTGTTTTTTAACCATTTACAACCAGAATTTTTTCAAAACCGTTAAATTCACCAGGACATTGGAGTTTGACTTTTTGTTAGAACGAGCTTTGTTTGATGAGCTTTGGAGAGCGCAGGAAACGGGAAACTCTTCATGTGTTGAAGGGAATTGAAGAACTATTGTGGTGTCAACGTTGGGTCTCGAACCCCAATCTGTCGTTTATGAGATTAGCATTTAGCACTATCAGCTTCATTATATACCCAGTTGCAAGGAACTAAGTGGCTTTATTAGGTGGGCCTGGTGGGTGCGATGAAATTCTAGTTTTTTAACCGTATTAGATAAAAGCAGTTAATAAATAGGTTTTCTCACTGTTAACAGTTTGAATCCCATCTTATGCACGGTTATTTGACTGTTTTGTTAAAATATAATAAAATAACAATTAAATAAAGTATTATTGAACCATTTTTTCTGAGAAATTTCTAACAATGCAGATAGGGGACATGACACATTTGGGGCAGATGAAATTATGTTTAATAGCGTTTAGTTATAATTTCCAATCTACTGATATTGTTATCGTCGTAGACTGCGCAAATTTAAAATTGTCGTTTTAAATATGACTGTTTTTCCACACATCTTCTAGGGCAGGGTTGGCGAACCAATGGCACGCGACACAATATTTAGGGCACTCCACCGATCACAATTGTTGTTACACTATGAATTGTTATTACGCAAATGTTATTACGCTATGAAGCATATGTAACAATTAAATTAAAATTCACAAGAAACAAGAAAAATAATAAACAATTATTAATAAAAAAATTAAAAATTAATGCTAAAAAACAATTATTAACAGTAAAAAACAAGCTAACAATAAATAACTAGCAAAAAAAATCAACAGTCCTGCTTAAACTAACATTTTACAACCTAATATAAGTTATTGGTCATCTAATCTGCAACAACAGAAGTCTCATTGATGTTACTTTAAGTTGAATTACTTGTATAACTGAGACATTGCAAAATGTATTTTTTTTTCAATGTAAATAAAGAGTTTTGAGTTGATAGTATTTAGTATTATTATTTTCCCAATAATCACGAAGTCAAAATTATTTGACGGCACGTCTATGACCTCAT